AATGGTCACCAACCAAGAGGCTCTCGGAGCCAATTGGAGTTGATACAAGGCTGGGGTGGGGAGGCTGAGTGCCCGCATGCATGCATGTGCCCCAGCCCAGCAGGTCAGTCTGTGGGTGTGGGAAGTAGTAGGGACTAGATCGAGGCCCCCACAGTGAGGGACAGTGCTGCAGAGGCAGGAGCAGGAGCAGGGATAAGTTGAGTGGGGTCCCAGCCAGGTGGAACTTACCTCCTGGGGAGGCATGCCTCCAAATCATTGTTTCTCCTTCTGCCTCGATCTGCCCCCCCTTCCCTCCCCACAGACTTACCTGCTGGGCTGGGGAAAAGGGTCATGGGGTAAGGGGTGGTGGCTGCACACAGTAAATCTTGGGTTGCTTTTGAATGCCAAAGGTGATCTACTTAAAAAGGTTGAAGACCACTGCTTTAACAGAAGCTTATATTCTACCCCTTGCAGTGAGCTGAGCATATCAGTGGCTTGCATCCTTGGCATCTGAATACTTTAAAATGAGCTGCACTATCATTCATCAGAACTTGCAAATTGCTCTAGGAGCATTCCACTGATGCAAGCTCACAGACATTAAGAGCAGCCAAGATTGTGGCTCTCACGTGCTGGGAGAGGCCTGTGGCACACAGCAACAGTATTACAGCCTGAATAAGTACATCCCTTCCAATGAAAGGGCAAGCATCAAAGTGTCCCTTATGGTGGAAGCTTACATCTCCTGTCATTGCCTTTGTGCCTCCAAAAAAATTTTTATGGTGGCACAAAGGCCAAACAAACAGACATACAGGGCGCTTGTACACATGACGGGGGTTTAGTCCTTAGGGTTGCATTCTGTGTCCCCAAAATTGAAACAGTGGTTTTTTAATTGAAACCCACCATTTCAATTTAGGGGTTTTTATTTTTCTGTCATGTTATGGCAAGGGGCCTGATCTCTTTTTCTTTTTTTTCCAGCAGAGCCTGCCTTCAGCTGGGGGGTGAGCTGCTGGCAGGCCAAGTCGCCCCTGAGTTACAGGGGCCCTGGTCCTTCCCTCCATAGGAGTGGTGTCCCCTGGGGCTGCCTAGGCAGGCTGGTATCAGGCTGGGTGCTGCCCCAGCTTGGAGGCAGCACCTGGCCCAACCCCAAGCTGGGGCAGCACCCAGCCCACTAGCAGCCTTCCTGAGTGGCCCCAGGGGTGCCACCACCGTGAAGGGAAGGACCAGGGCTCTCCACAGCTATGGGACTGCTTGGCCTGCTGTAAGCTCATCCCCTGCCTGCAGGAGAGGTGGGCAGGTTCTGCTGGAAAAAAAAAGGCATTGGGCCCCTCGCTGCTTTTGCCTTCACCAGGTGCCTGCTAAAAGCAGAAGTAGCGAGGGATTTGATCCTTTTTTTCTGTGGAGCCTGCTCGCTTCTCCGGTGGCCGGTAGGTGAGATGACTAATAGCTGTAGCTGCAATGCACTGTTGCAGACTAAACTACATCAGAATGTTTACAATGCTAACTCATTTAAACCCCCCAAAACTCTTGCACATGTACAGTGTGACAACATTAAGCCACACAAAGTGACATTTTTGTCATGTGTATATGGTAATGGCATCACATGTACAAGCACTCATAAACCCCTTGTTGCATCACAAATAATGCCTGCAATGAAGGTGGTATCAATTTGTGCCGCTAGTTAGGAGTGGGCATCTGTTTACTTTGTGGGGCGAGAGCACAGGCAGCCTGGAGTTGCCTATGCTCCCCAGCTACCCTTGGCAGGTGCTCTGGAGGTTTATGGGGCCTGATCCTGTGCACCCCAGGAATTCCCATGCAGGTTTGGGCCCCTCAAGCCCTGGGAGTGCCTGCCAAGGTGCCACTGCTTACAGAAATGATGTGCTCCTGGGACCTCCAGGGCACATCTTGGTAAGCAGGGAAACCCTGACTTTCCATGTTTACTGAGGCACACCCTGGAGATCCCAGGGGTGTGTCTTAGTAAGTGGAGAAAGCCAGACTGGCACTCCCAGGGCTTGAGGGGCTCAGTCTGGTGTGGGAATTCCTGGAGTGTGCAGGACTGGGACCATCAAGCCCTGACAGAACGCACCGCCGTGTCCTGCAGCATCAACAGGTGGCACAACGGGTGACGTGTGTTTCACTCATGACATGGATTGGGTGCACTGGAACACATCCTGGCACATCTGTTTCGTTTCATTTGGCAATGTCTGTTTCTAGCCTTTGTCCCATATAACTCAGCTAGAGAGTCATGAGGCTCATGGTGTAGGCACAGTGGTTGATCTCACTTTGGGTGCTTTCTTAAGGGATGATCTGGACATGGCTAAGCTGGTTTGGGTCCCTCCTTGGAAACAAAGGAAACACAAGTCTGAACTGGATCCACAGGTTTCCGGCATGCCAATGACCCAGCCTGGTGAGTCTGGGTGTCAGTGGCTTTAAAGGCATAAAAGAGGAAAGAATTGTTTCTTGATAAGTAGGGCCCAAATTGGAGACCCAAGAGGGTATTGCACAATGCCTGAGTCTAAGCAAGACCTTAAGGGATCTTTGTCAAAGGATCCTGCCCCAAAGACTCTGAAAGGACATGCTAATAGAGGCCTGACACCAGGAATGGCCGGGAGCAGGTGCTCTGGAGAACAGGTTAGTTCACTGTTACTGAGTGCCAGGCCAGGGGGAATTAACAGGAGTCTAGACAGGCACTGCATGAGACTCAGTTATACAGAGCACAATTGCTACAACTTAGCCATGGCATCCTGTGAGGCAGCTGGGTGAAGAGAATTGAAGTTCAGTTGGGTCGAAATGGCTCTTGGCCAAACATGACCAAGTATTGGTAGATATGTTGCAAAATAAAGAGCAAAACAAAAAGGGTGAAAAATTAGAAGCAGGTCTTGTACCTATGGCTTAGTTCCTTCCCAAGAGAGGCAGGGAATACAGCAGAGCTGCTGAAGTCTCTCCCTTTGCTCAGTGTTACATGCTGCGGTAAAGCTGTAGCCTCCTTGACCACAAGGGCTTAAGGAGACTGAAGAGTTTCTGACAGAGACCATCGCCAGGAAGACGTTCCAGATGTCATATTGTCGTGGAGATGTAGGGTGGTTTGTTGCTGATATTCCAGTTGAGATATATTGTACAGATGAGAGTCAAGCTGCAGTAGCCAGCTCTAGTGATTGCCTTATTATAGTTGAAATGTAAATTCTCTGAACAAAATTGCCCATGTGCTTCCCAGTCTGCACTGTTCAGGCAGCACCGTTCACTGTTCATGGTGAAAACTGGACTCTGGCCATGTTGCTTTTTCTCCTGGCTCAGGGGGCGTCAAACACATATTTGCAAATTGTTCCAACTGTTTGTCTTTACCTTGGCAAACAAGTATTTAAACGCTGCTTGGGGATACCTGGTTCCCTTGCATCTTTTCATCTTATCTCCCTTAGCAATAGTTGCTTCCAGGCCCAAAGTTGGTGCCAGAACGGAAGAGGACTGTTGCCAGCTGCATATGCTTGCCTGTCACCATTCAATTTCTGATGCATTTGTTGGAAGTCAAGCGTAGTGAGCATCTGTGCATCTATACTAGGCTCCGTGCCATAGGATCTGAACATTCCTCTTAATAAGCATGGTAAGTGAAGGCTGCAGAATGGGAGGGCAGGGAGGCACGTTTTGCCTTGAGGAGAAACTGTTGCTCTCAGCATTGTGGTAATCACGTGCAATAATCATGCTGTTTTCATTGGGCTGAAATGATAATGCACCCTCTCTGGCTTCTTGGGTACTGATGAGGGCTTCGTGAAATCTTGTCCCAACAGTGAGCTTGGACAGAGGCTTAGGGACTGCCCATAATACTTTGAATAGAACCACAGGGCAGATGAAACTTCACATTAGGATTTTGGTAACTAATCTGAAACTCGAGTCGGATTTCTGGAGAATTTTTGCAAGGTTTGTGAACTGTGGAGTGAGCCTGGGGCCAGGTTTCAAGTGAGTTCAGGGATTGGTTGTAGTTCCAGGTTGATGACACGTGAAAATGTGGCTTGGCTCGCAAAGCTCCGAACAGACTCATTCCTATGTGTAGCTGGATTAATTTTCAATTTGGCTGAGGGCTTGCAGACACAAGGCTCTGAAAGGTAATGCTGCCCCTTCGTGGTGACACATGGAAAAGCAAAAGTTTCTCTTGAGAAAAGATGGGTCTTTCACTGCTCTGAGCATAGTACAGATAGGGTTCGTTCTTCTTTACATCCACATTAAGATGAAGATATATAAGGAGACCAATGCATGCAAAGATTGTCAACATGAGTTAGGAGAGAGGCACTTTGTCCTGTTTTATTCTCCTTGGAAGCCAGTAGCATTCCCACTCCACTCCAGGGAACATACACAGTGGATTTGGTTCAAACTTACCTGCGTACTTAGATTTGACTTTAAGAACAATATAACATAAATCTCAGCCTAAGCTTTCTTCTGAGTTAAGCTGTTCCAGGGTTTTCCCTGAAAGATCTTTCTGTCTCTGCCCTGGGTTCCTTCTGTTTCAGATAGAGACCAGAATTTATCCATACCATGAGCTGAAGCAAAGAGGACTCCACTGGTATGACAGGGTGCTAGTATCTGACAGCAGGGTGATGCAGCAGACAGCATGGGAACTCATTTTGGAACACGCTTACTTACCAAACACCTCCTTTTTTTGGTGTTATTCTTGTGAACACTCATAGCGGAACACATTCCCACCAAATGTCCTGAATCTGCAACACATACCAACACTGAGTCCCTCAAACAGCTAATCACATCTGTAAAAATTAAAAGGCAGCACTCCAGTTTTGGCCCCTCAAGATTCACTACTCCCTAATTCAAGTTTTACAGTGGCATAACTTCTTTGAAATCAACAGATTTACACCAGACCATACCTAGCATTATGCACTGGGGATTCAGATTCAGTGAGTCATTATTAAGTAGCAACATCTCATGCCATACACAGCTGATCCCTTTATACATTCAGCCCCATGTAAAAAGGACAACTAAGGAAGTGAGTGATCTTTGCAAAGGAACTTTAATCAGGAGACATTTAACACATTTATACACATGATTAAAAACTGTACTCAGATGAGCCTTTAATATTGTTGAGAAGCCCGGTCCATTTTAAGTTGGGTGCAGACATGTTGCTGATCTAAGTCAATTTGAGGCCAACGTGATAACTTCCGGTTACTCCCTACAGATTCTGCCCATGGGTGATTATCATCAGATAGCGACTGGAGCACATGCTATTACCAGGTTATTTGCTGGCTGGACTGAACCTGTGAAAGTCAGTTAGTGAAACTGTTTGCTGTAAAGATGAAGCTCTTCCATGTGGAAGACAGGCCTTTCTTGGTGTCTAAGACTGCTGGAATGAACAATGGCAAATAATGACCATCCCAAGCCCTACCACCTTCGGCTCTATGGGCAAGGTGCCTGCCTTTGACCTCACCATCTGTACTCCTTCTCCACTATATACATATAGCAACAGGATAGTACAAACAAAAACTAAAACAAAAACAAAGCACCCTGCCAAAAGTATGCACACCACTACATACACATAAAGAACAAAGATGAAAGAACAAACAATATGAGACAGATATTAGTCATGTTGCTCAGCACACTCATGGAAGACACCCAGATGCTACAGGTATCAAGTACGGCATGGGAATGTATATAGGATAGCCTCAGGGAGTGAAATGTGAATCCATGCAGAGCCCTGAGAACAAGATGTTTGCTATTTTGCCATTAAAAATAGGTATGCAGCTTATCTACAGGAAACAATGGCTCTCCAGTTTGGGGGCACACGTGGAAAGTGGACAACCACTCCAGAGTTCAGGCTGAAATTACATTTCCAATTTAAATTCAGCTTGCTTTCTGTCTTCAAAAAAGAAGTTAGTACACCTGAATAGTAGCTCAGCCTCAAAAGTGGTTGGTTAGATGTGGGGCTGAGGTAGAACTTTTTTCAGCAAACCTGGAAGCAAATCAGACAAAGGAAAACACAGTAGCAGATCATACCATTTTTGGAGGCTTGCAGCTTCATTTTTGTAAAATGTAAGTCTCTAGCTCTTTTCCTTGCAGAGAGTGAACTGAACGTGTGGGCTGGTCACTAGAAAAATTGGTCAAAGAGGTAGAAAAGCCTTTTCCATCAAAAGGTTCCCAAGTGACCTCCTCTATTTCTGTTGTTCATTTGAGCGAAGGGACAATGCTCCCTAATCAAAGCCCTGTTTTCAGGCAGTCTGAGGTCTGGAGGAGCAGGAAAGAGGTTTGAACTCTAATTCTACTGTCCTCCAACAACCAACTCTAGTCCTTCAAACATGAGGCACTTGACAGAGGTGGAAATGCATTTTTGGCAGGACAGAAGCCTTCAACCTGAGGAATTTCTGAGATTGTAAGGGAGAAGCTTCCTTTATGTGCACTCCACAGAATGAGGGATGGGGACTGATAGCAGGAGATGATGTGGCCAGCACACCAAAAGGATATTCAATTCCCTGAGATTTTTAAAGACTGCAAGATTGAGTCTCCTCTTTTGCAGACCTCATAGGGTTTGTGGGAACATGAGTCCTATCCAGTTGCCTTCAGAACTGTTTACAAAGAAAAAATCCCCAAGGAAATTCTGCTTACAAAAGATACCCTTAATGTGAATTAAGGTTGCAGACAAATACCAGTCATCTTAGGTCATGTTACAACTCAAGGAGGTCAGAAATTAAAAACACAAAACAGTTAAGTGCCAAAAATGGAGGAAATTCAGTTATAGCTGTACTCCAGGGCACCCAAAACCCTCCTGATGTTGTTTCCTAGAAGCACCCTAAGCATGAGTCAGAAACAAGTACTAAGTTATCTTTCTTTGGCCAAGCTGCATTTGCTTACTGACCTACAAAGCTAAACTACCTCACCTGACCCTATAGTAATACCACTGTGGCTGCTGCTACTGATGTAATACCTTCCCTAGGAGATTTTTTTTTATACACTTTTGATTAAATACCAGAGTTGAAACAATTATGCTTCTTGTTTTGCTAAGGGCCTCAGACTCTCAGGCAACGTGTACATGGGCCTGGTCTCATGTCGGAAAGTGCTGACAGCAGCTATTGCTCTGAATGCCCCTACAGAGCAGCTCTGCCATGAGTATGCAAAGCACACTCTGGGAAAGAGCTGAAGCAGATTATGAGTGCTTAGATAATGATAATTTGAGTTATGTGTTTATGAAGTGTGCTTTAACTCTGAATTTTCAGGGTTTTGAACACTCATTTTTTAATTCAGCTGTAGCAGTCTTGCACAGCTACAGGCTCAGAAGCCATAGATATGCTCCTGCAAGCTTAACGTTCCCTTACAGCTGTCTTTATAGGAACTGCACATGTTGCAACAGCACAGTACAGAAGGCGAGAGTGATCTTAAGTCAGCAGGGATGGCAGAGAGTCAGATGGAGAAGAGGGGGCTCTTGGTGAGAGAGACACAGAGGTGGTTCCTCCTAGTGTGGAGTTCTAAACTGTTTTAGAAGCAAATGACTACATGATAGATTGTGACAGGTCACCCACCAAAGCAGACCAGAAAAGGCAGGGATGTGTTGAGGTGTCTGAGGGCTGCTTTGAACTTATGTGCATAAAGCCTGGAAGCTGTGCAGTTTATGCTGGGTCAGGGGGTTTGCATGTACAGAAATGCAGAGTTGATGAGTCCTAGCTGCGGGATGTGTACACGGGTATATGATGTGTGGTAGATGTGGCAGGAAATGTCCAGGTGGGTGTATACTGATATGTTGGGTAAGTCTGTGTATCCATAATGATATGCAGTAATACAGTTTACATGCAGCTGGAAGCCCAGCACCCAGAGTAAAACCAGAAAGTATAAATACCCTCAGGCCTTTTCAAACTTATATCCACATAGTGTGAGCGCACAGTACTGGCTGAAGGCCAGAGCTGACACCTATCTTGGCAGGGCCAGAAGCCACAAGGAGTGCTTCCTGCTCTGTAGGTGTCACAGCATTATGTCTAGATCTGGCTCTTCCTCCTTTTCCTCCCCAGAGTCTGCCAGCTGTTGGGCATTCATCATGGACTGTATCTGGGCAGGAGCAAAAAGACAAGGGTCAGTTTGGTGCCACACAGTACCCTAGCAATGGAGCCTGGAGCAGGCCCCAGGATCCCTCCTGCCAGCTCTGTAGACTGAGACACAGGGCAAGGCATGGCTTCCTTGAAAGCAGAAGAGGGCTTCATAACTAGCTGACAGAAGGATAGCCAAGGAATCCTTTCTTCTCTTCTGTCTTTACCCTAATCCCTTCCCATCTCCTATGATCCACCCACCTTCCCTCCCACTCTCAAATTACTCTAGGTCAGTTGTTTTCAACCTTTTTTCAGTTGCGGACCCCTAAAAAAATTCAAATGGAGGTGCGGACCCCTTTGAATTGTAAGTGTGGGTATTCACATACTTTTGATTGATCATAGTCAGTTTTCATAGACCCGTCTGTGGACCCCAAGTTGAAAACCAATGCTCTAGCTCCACAGGCATTTCTTTCCCTGGATTTTAAAACCTTCCTAGTGTAGGGCAGAGGGGATCCAGGTGGGTAAACAAGAGGAGACACAGAACCAGCCCTTAATGTCTACCTATACCCTTCCCTCATCATCCATCCCACACTGTCACCCGGGGACCAACTACCTCACTCTTCTCTGCTCTTTCCATCCCTTCCACACATCATGCCCACCACTCCATGCTTGTGTTTGTCATGTCTTTTCCTGTTAGAACACCTTTTCCCTCAGCACTCTCTTCCCCTGCCATATGCCTCTCTTTGCATGTGTTAGCCAGGTTGGGATTGTCGCCAAAGTCTCTGTGTGATCTCAACAAAATTATCCTACCTGCAGCAACATAAACTGCAAGGGCTGATCAGGCTTCTTGTACACCAGGTTTTCAGTGATCTCCTGAGAGAGAGAGAAAGAGCATGGCGTTGAGTTTCTCTACTCTGGCTAGGTAACAGGTACAAGGATATGAACTGCTTTACTGTAGGCAGCAATGCTGTCTTTTTGCAGATACGATTACTGAGAACATGGTAGAAGAAAAAAAAGTAGTATTAGAGCAGGAGATTGGGAACTGAAGAACAGAGAGCCTAAGCACTAGCTGCAATAAAACGCTTGGATGCCCAAATTCTGCCTCCTTTAACCACTGGAGATTATCACCCTTCTCATTCCCATGGTCTTTCCTTGAGGGGGTACAAGGCAAGGAATGGAGAGGGTACCTGGGGAAACAGTTGACTTAATGTTAAGCTTGCAACTTAATTTTAGGCTAAGAGCTCCAAGCAAATACCTGTAAGGAGGAGACAGAAAAGGAAAGTTCACCTGGAATATTTGTAGAATATTATGTTTCTCCATGTACGTAAGGGAGACTTCAAAGGGGTCTTCGTACACCATAGGCTGTTCAATCTCAGGAAATTCATCACCTAATGCTTTCAATTCAGCCCCGCCTGCCTGGTCTATGGATGCTCTTAGCATAGCTCTAGGGGACTTGTCCATGGAGGCTTGTGGCATGCTTCCAGACTTGTCCACAGATGCAGTGGCAGCAGGGGACTGGTCTATAGACCCCCGTGTTTCAGCTACAGAGGAATCATCCACGAATCGTTGTGCTTCAGCCATGGGAAGCTGTTCTACAGATGCTGGCAACTCTACTACATGGGGCTGTTCCACAGATGCAGGCGTTTCAACCTCTGGGGATGGTTTCACAGATGGTGGAAATTCAACTATGGGGGATGGGTCCTCATCTGATGTATCTGTAACAATAGGTTCGGCAGGCTCTTGCACCTCAGTCACCTGCACATCTTCAAGCTCTGGCTATGACATTTAACAAATACAAGTAAAAGGAGGTTTTAAATACACTGAATTGTGCATTAGATACATCATCACTATTGAATTCTTTAACAGCTGGCCTTGGATTAGGGTTCCTTTGTATGTAGGGCTCCAACAGCCAGGACTACTCTTCCCTACTGCAGATTCTGGCGTGAGGGCTGGGACCTGACTGGGTCTCACCCATTCCTTTGTCAAATGACTGAGCAGGGAAATATGTTTCCTGTTCTCCATTTGCTGGGTCAGGGGTGTCAAACTCATCCAACCCATGTCCTGGAGTGGCTGGAATGGGTGCCCTACACAGCTGGGTCCTGCTCTGGTTGCTCCATGGCTGTGCTGTATTGCCCTGAAGCCACTACCACCATGGGACTGTGCTGCATGATCCTGAGCCCTGCCACGGGGACTGTGTTGCATGACCCCAGCGTGGCACGCGGCTGCTCTGGGGCTGTGCTGAACATGGCAGCCACTCTGCTGCTCCAGGACATAAGCTGGAGCAGGCACCACCTGTGGTGTTGTCTGGCACATCCTGCATGCTGCTTGTGGATCACTGAGTACCAAGGGCAGCACTGGGGGCCAGATGATATGGCTTCATAGCCTGGATCCGGCTTGTGGACCATACCTTTGACTCCCCTGTGCTAGGTGGTATCCTGGCCCCAGGACATCAGTGAAGACATTCTCACTTGACTTCAGCAAAGCCCAAATTTCACCCTTTCCTCTTCTTCCTGAGAAGGAAGGTCCTGCCACCTATCCTCATCAATTTGCTGTTTTCAGAAGGGCATCACAAACTTGCCTCACTCTGGAGGGAGGTAAGTGAGAGAGGCAAAGAAAAGAGCTGTGACCTGATATCACCAGGATCCACTCCTTCCTTCTGAAACTGTTTGCCAGGTCTGCAGTTGAACACGTAGATCTTGTATTGTCCTCTTTGGTCATCTCCAAACTCACTGATGACTTCCCTATCTACTGGAAGATGGTTATCCTCATATCAAAGAACTGCAGCAGACAGCCACCAACAGGTGTGGATTTTGAAAACCCTACAGCACGTTTGGAAAGAGGAACATCCCAGGGAAGAAACTGGTACACAAATGGGATGCAGAAGGGCAGTGGTCCTTTTTCATGGAGAGACAAGGGTGTTTTTTTTATATCTTTTATTGGACCAACTATACAGAAAGAAAAAAAGAACACTGGACTCTCTGTACAGTTAGCCCAACAAAAGATACCACAAAAATCCTCTGCCTCTCCTAAGCTTCCTGAACCAGTATGGCTACAGCACCACCCCTGTCCTTTCCATCAAGGGTTGCATTGTGGGGACAGACAAGGTTGTCCTTCTCCGTTGCAGAGCGGGGCAACACTAAGTACAGAGATGAGCAACTTCCCTGACTCCCCACCCACCAAGTCGCTCCAGCCACGCTGCTCCAGTGCCAAAGGTGTCACTGCCCTGCCTGGCTGTGCGGTGTGACTTTGTGATTGGGGCTGCATCTGACACGCATGGGCAGCAACAAAACAACAACAGTCACGAGAATAATGACGACAGTCACCCGATTAATAATGCTGGTCGTTGCATTATTTATCATAATCACATTTTAATTATTTTATGTATTATTACCCTATGCTAACATGAACAATAATAGCAAGAATGGTAACAATGATATTAATAATCAGAGCAATAAGGGCAACAAGAGTGATGATAATGATAACAATAACAACAGTAACTATTATATAATATAAACGTAGAAAATATAACAATGTATTATATAATAATGATGATAACGATAGCCATAATAATTGCCATATAATAAAATACAATGATATGCGTAATGATGATAATAATGATTATGGCATTATTAAATATTATATTACAAACACGTACATAGCATACAGGGTGTTTATAAAGTCCTTGTGCAACTGGAAACTTTAATAAACTTTGGATGCACACATGATACAAACAAACTGTAAATGGCAACTGAAAGCATCATTCATTAAGTTTTGACACAGCACGGCTCAGATTTCTAGATGTCAACATAACCGCCAGCTTTCGTGACACATCATTGCTCAACCCGATTTTTCACCTCGGACTGTAGAAAACACGCAGAATGCAGCAAACATATTCCAGGTGCTGGTGCGCGATGTCACAACCCGCACGTGAGATCCTGCCCCTCCGTGCAGCTTATGCGGTGCCAAAAACTGGAATGAATGATGCTTCCAGTCGCTGCTCACAGTTTGCTCCTATCATAGGTGCATGTGCAAAGTTACTGAAGTTTCCAGTTGCATGAGGGCTTGATAAACAGCCTGCGTAATGCGTGCGATATCGAATAATAAAATACAACATGTAATTAAGGACATGAGAATAACGACAACGATGGTCATAATCATTACAATAATGATCATAATTTTAAAAATTGTGGTTATGGTCATTATAATTATTCTAATTAGAATCATAACAATGCAGCAGCACCCCACACCGCTTACATCTCCCAGGCCAGGCCAGGCCAGGTCAGGCAGGGGGTGGGGGTGGGGGTGGGGAAGCTCGGCCCGCTCCTCCCCGGGTCTCACCTGCGCCTGCCCTTCCATGCTGGAGCAGGAGCGCGTTCCGCCCCCAACCCGCCGCAGGCTTTATGACTCTCGGCGAGCCCCGTAGCCGCCAACTAGCGACGGTCGCCATGGGGACGGACGCCACCACGATGCCCCGCCCCCTTGGTCAGCCGGTGGGGGTATCTAGGGAGAAGCCCAGGCAGGTCACATGACAGCCCCACGCGTCACCCCAGCGGCCATTTTGGAACCTGGCGGAAAGTGCCTGAACGCGGCGGCCATGTGGGTGGTGCAAGGAGCGGACTGGCAGGCCCCTGCCACGCGCTGCCCGCTTGGGGGCGGAGCTCTGGCCGGAGCCTGGCTGAAAAGCAAGCTGCCAGAATGGTAGCAGCCCCCTGGGCTCTGGGGGCGGCTATAGACGAGCAGGGAGCTGCTGCAACGCTCTGTAATTACGGAGCAGCTGTAATTACAGCACACTTGCTGCAGCATGGTATAAACGCCCTGAGTGCCTGCCTGTGCGGGGACCCTGCAGGGACCTAGCAGGAGGTAGCTTAGAGAGAGACGGAAAAACGTACGCGGTGTTTCAAGGCTGGCCAAGTCAGACCTTGACTTCACTTTCATATGTTAGGTTTGGCTGAAATGACAGCCCTGAGACCCGTGACTCCTGGGTGCTACAATAGTCATGTTCACTGGCACTATGTAGGAGCAGCAATATGGAGCGGATCAGAGGCAGATGCATTTTCATCCAAACTGGGGTCAAGCAAGGATGTGTATCGCCCCAACTCTCTCCTCCGTTTTTCTGACGGTCGTCTTGGTTCCTGTTAAGGACCGCCTTCCTTCTGGCATTGAGCAAGAGCACTGAACAGGCTCTTCAGTCTGGGATGTTTTCGCTGTAAGACCAAAACACTCAAAACAACCATCCTTGATCTTCAATACCTAGATGTCTGCACCATCCTTGCGCACACTGAGGACAACCTCCAGAGTGCTCTGGATCTTTTTGAAGAAGCCTACCAAACTTGAGGCCTCTCTCTCAACATTGAGAAAACGAAAGAGCGGTATCAGCCTTCCTCAGGCCATGAATGTGACCCCCCCTTTCTAAATTACCATTGAGAGAAAGACCCAGGAGCTAGTTGAGCACTTTGACCTTGATAGTTACTGCTCTCAGAGAGTGAACACTGATGAAGAGATCCACCACAGGATCTGGTGTGCAAGTGCCTCCTTTGGGAAATTGCTTAGGCATGTCTTTATTCATCACAATATCTGGAAAGACACCAAGATCCAGTCGTCATCCCCACTGTCCTCTAAAGATACGAAACTTGGGTGACCTACTGTTGTCATCTCAAAAGCCTGGAGAGATATCACCAATGATGTCCCTGGAAAATCCTCCACATCAAATGGGAAGATCATTGCACAAATGCTAGCATCTGTGCTGAAGCCAGTGTTACCAGCATTGAGTCAGTGATCCTCAAGCACCAATTTGCTGGACCGGACTTTGCATGCAGATGCCTAATTCATGATTCCCAAAACAAGTGCTCTACTCCCAGCTTAGTAATGGCCTGAGATCTTGTGGTCAGAGGAAATGCTATAAGGACACACTGAAGGCACACTTCAAGAAAACGAATGCCAACGTCAAGACTTGGGAGGAGCTGGCTGCTAACCGAATCCAATAGTACAGCAACCTCAACCAAGCATCTTGAGGTAATGTGTCTTGCCCTCAAAGCAGTGGAGGAAGGAACAGAGAAATCCTGGCCCATGGCCTACCCTCCCCTGTGGAAAGACCTGCAACTTCTGTGGGTGTGTCTGTGGCTCAAGGATTGGATTCTTAAATCACCTCGAGACCCATCAGTGGATCATCCTCTAACTGAAGGATTGCTGCTGCCGATGACAACGATGTACACTGGCACTGCATCTGCTACACCTCCCTCTCAGGGGGCGCAAATGCAGTCTGTACCATGATGTATCAGGGATCAGTGGCCTCGGGGCTTTTCCCTTGTTTGGGCTTCCTGGGGTTTGAGGGTGATTTAGGTAATGCCCACACACTTCACCTGCTCAGAGTCCCAGTAAGTTCCATTAATTCTACATGTCTCGACCTCTTGCCTCCTTTCTCACAGTATCGCCAAACGTTTCAGTGTTATTCCTCCCTCTCCTGCCAATAACTTTATTGCAACTGCTGCTGGGATAAATACCTTGTGAAACATTAACGAGGAGAGTTCTGCTGTGATCCACTGCCTGAAGAATGAACACATTAAATTCCACTCTCAATTTTGTCTGTGTAAACGCAGAATGACTCCTGACTTTGGTGGCTTGCTCCAGCTTCCCATTGTTGTGTCCAAAAGCAGAACTTGGCTCGCTGTCTTTGCTGTGAATCGTCCTCTAGATTGGTTTGCCCTCTAGCATCCAAAATGAAATAAAAACTAAGACAAAATAGTGCATAGAGCATGGAAATGGTAGAATTGAGTCCGAAAAGACTGATCGATTGCTTTAATCTATCTTCCTATAACAGTACCTGTCACGCTAGCATCTGCATATCTCTCAGGGGTAAAAAATGTCAGGAATATTCTTTCCCTTCCTTGCTAGCAAGAAAAACTGAGTTTTTAAAAAAAAAAAATTCTTATCAAGTTGGGAGTGTTGGAGTGAGTGACAATTCTGCTGCAGGATAACTAGGGAGAGGAGCTAAAGTTTGCATTAGGTTTGAATACAGTGACATTTAGTGGCCATTCTTACTCCATCTAGTAGTCTATTCTCAGTCTAAGGTCTCTCAAGTGTCAGTCTTCCCTATATAACAATCTTCATTTGTCAACAGTTTCACTGTTTCACACTCAGTTCCTGCCCTGAAAAGCTTGTGCAAAGGACAAGTTAGTTAATGCTTGTCTTTCAAGCTGACTTTTACCCTTATTATTTGCAAGTCTTGCAGTGGACCTTGACAAGGGAGTTGAAGACCCAGAAAGTAGGAGCACTTATAAATCAAGAAAGAGAAGAGTTTCATGAGTGTGGCAGTGTGGAACAGGCATAAAGAGGCTGGTAAAGGAAGAAGGCCAATGAGGCTGGCTAGCATCAGCAGTACAGTGGAACAGATGGGTGTAAAGTGAGAAGGGGGGTGTGTGTACACTTACATGGGAGAGACATGTCCTTTCCCTCCTCTCCTCCCCTGCTATACAAATCCTGACAGTTGGCGCATTGTGTTCTGGACTCCTCAGAAGACACAAATAAACAGATTGCCAGTTTCCCCCAAAGAGTAGATGAAAGGAACAGAGATAAAAGCTGTGCTGTGTTACCACAGTAACTGGCTTTCTGAAGTAGTTCAGTTCACACTTCAGCATGACAGAGCCAAATAGCAGGAGTGTCTAGGGTAGCCATTGGGAGGGAGAGTGAGAGAGACCCAGGGCTTAAAAAGCATGGTAAGCTAAAAGACATAGGTTAGGTTCTGTACCATTCAGGTTGTATGTGGCTTTCACATGATCAGGCTGACCTTTAAACTCAGAAAGGGTGTGGGTTTTTTCAGAATACTGTGGCCCATCTTAATAACATAGACCCACCAGCCTAGAGCACTGGGCTCCAAACTCACGTACAGCTACTCCTTGCTTAATGTCATAGTTATGTTCTTGAAAAATGCGACTTCAAGTGAAACGATGTTAAGTGAATCCAATTATGTCACAGTAGTTACCTACTGGTAGGTGGCGGCCAAACAACGTTATAATTAAACATTGCATGACTTTAAACGAGTTTGTTCTCTAATAGATCAGCGATGTAATAACAAAACAATGGTAACCGGGATGACTTTAAGTGAGGAGTACCTGTACTCTGGTATCCCAGGTCACATTCCAGGCCTTGGTCCTCATGTTCAAAGCCCTTCCCAGGGGAGACTGGCTGATACTGTGTGAGAGGGTCCTCAAACTGTACCATCGTGACATCCTGTGATAGCCATGTTCTACTGAGATAAGGTCAATGTCAACGTACTGCGTGAGATCTGGCATGTGTAGTAGATGGAGTGTTTTCAATGACTCTTGTGAGTCTGGAAGACATTTCTGGAAAAGAGTTGTAAGAGCATAAATCCCTCAAAGCAAAAGCAAATGTCTTCAGCTGAGCCTCCTCACAAAAACCTACCACATACTTACAAGCCAACCCATGGAACAAGTGGAAGAGCTGGAAAACACACTGCTTGTATTCACTTGGGTAGCCATGGGATTTTCAGTCAGGTCCAAGGGTATTAGGAACCAGCTTGTATTGTTTTTGAGTCAGGTTGTGGTGCCTGACTTTTTCAGTCTTCTTTGAAAACCCCATCCTTGGATACTCTGGCGGAGGGTATAAAAGTACCTTGACATGGAAGTGGACAGGTAGGTCTTAAAATCGAAGCTCTCATTTTTGCTGTGGCTATTAAATATTCCTCTATGCTTTCATTATATTTTCAAGTTAAGCTTCTAACTTGTTTGGTTGCAAAGAAAACTTGCTAAACATGCCTGCTGGTACACTGCAGAGGAAGAAAGACGGCCTGAAACTGCAGTGCTGTGAGTGGTGTGAAATGTTCCTCTTTCATAAATTGGGACATTCCCTCTGAAACCTATTGTGAACAATGTAAGTATCCTCATTGTTAGCTGCTGCTTTGATTAATTTTGTCGTAAAGGTGAGGATGTAATTTCCCTGTCACACAATAGGGGCAGCATCTCCTACAAAGTAGTGTTCATTTTAGTCCAAGTACATATTTACTCTGGCTTTATAGGCAAAGTGGGCGTGTTAGTGTTAGAAGTTAAAAATTTTGTTTCTTCCCCAGGATGACTCCTCGTGGAGATTGGTGTTTAGCTCCAGTCTCCTCCTGCCACCCTCGTCTTATGCCGCACTGAACAGATCAGTACTGCCTTGGCAGTCTCAAGCAGCTCTGCTGTGGTATATTTTGAGCACCATGTTGTGTTTTCAGCATCTCCCTTCCTCTGAACCTCATTGGTAAACAGCAGATCTCTTCATTTGCAACATCATGTCTGCTGCTGGGATCTGGCTGCTGGGCCTAGAGACCTGGGATTCTGTACAAGGAAGTAAGATGAATGACTCCATTAAATATACATCACCACTCTGTTTACTCTTTCAAAGGAATAGATTACAAAAAAGCAGAAGATGCATTTTAAATACATTA